TCCCCCTGTCCCGGGCCCCCTGGCCTCCCATTGCTCCCACTCTGCATGTGCCACTTTGAGGTCCCCTTTACACTCCTGCGGTTTCCTTTTTGTCAAGGTTGCTGCAGATTGGGGCCTTCCAGGGGGGTGCCGGCCAGGCCCCATATCGGCCCAGGGGGCCCCCGTACCTCCGGGTCACGCTGCGCCGGTCCCACAGTGTGACCTGGGTTCCCTGTACATGCCACACCATTGCATTCCACTCTGCCATGTGCCACATTTTTGAGGTCACCCTACACTCCTGCTGTTTTCCATTTTTGTCAATAGGTTGCAGGCAGATTAGCGGCCTACCATAGGTGCCGCCAGGGTGCCCGCATAACGGCCGATGGGCCCCCGTACATTCTCTGGTCACGCTGCTTGACCGGGGTCCCACAGTGTGACCTGGGTCCCTGTTCACGGCCGTCCCAATGCTCTTCCACTGCTGCCATGTGCCACTTTGAGGTCTCCTCCACACTCCTGTGCTTTATCCATTTTGACATAGGTTGCTGGCAGATTACAGGCCTTCCATAGGTTCCGCCAGGCCCCATATCGGCCATGGGCCCCCGTACCGCCTGGTCACGCTGCTGCTGCTGGGCCCACAGTGTGACCTGGGTCCCTGTACCGCCTCCCATTGCTCCAACTCTGCCATGTGCCACTTTCAGGTCTCCTCACACTCCTGCTGGTTTCCATTTTGTCATAGGTTGCTGTATGGCCTCCCATTGCTGCTGGCTCCACCGCCACTGTGGCTCCGCCACTGTGGCTCCAAACACTGGTTTTGGCCCCGTGACTGCCAAATGAGTGAAGTGTGCGGTGATTCTAAGATCGACGGCACTCATCTGCATGTCATACTGACTGACAGTATTATTTCTCTTCCCCAGCAGACTCCAAGGGCATTTAAATTAAAGGTACAGTGTTCTGCACTATATTAAGTCTCTCTGAAGCCTAGAAACACCCTTTTTTAAGTTAAATTCACAGCGAATTTATTCGACTCGAATCGAATATGTCCACGAATTCGCCGAATCAGTCGAATTGAATTTTTCATTTCTTCGCTCATCTCTACTTGACATTTACAGCTGTTGAAACATTGTATCTATTTGTTTCCGAATAAAAACATCTGTATCCTAAATGGAAACAAATAGATACAATGTTTCAACCGCTGTAAATGTCAAGGAACTGTCAGAGAACTGTCAGAAATAGCGGAGCTCTCTGCAGGGACACTTTTTGCCGGCTGTAGAAGGGATGAAAATCGGCGATTTTTTTTACCATTGATGGTAATGTCGGCCGCTTGAACGACCGATGAGGACTGGAGTTGAGAAAAACTGATTTATTCCGTGGCAGGATACCGTATATATATATATATATATATATATATATATATATATATATATATATATACCGTATTTTCCGGCGTATAAGACGACTGGGCGTATAAGACGACCCCCCTACTTTTCCTGTTAAAATGTAGTGTTTGGGCTATACTCGCCGTATAAGACTACCCCTCTTCCAATGCACACCAGTGGGAAGAATCGTGCCCCATCATTAGTATCAGTGGGAGGAATAGTGCCCAGTCATTGGTGTCAGTGGCAGGAATAGCACCCCATCATTGGTGTCAGTGGGAGGAATAGCACCCCATCATTGGTGTCAGTGGGAGGAATGGCGTCCCATCATTGGTGTCAGTGGGAGGAATAGCGTCCCATCATTGGTGTCAGTGGGAGGAATAGTGCCCCATCATTGGTGTCAGTGGGAGGAATAGTGCCCCATCATTGGGTGTCAGTGGAGGGAATAGTGCCCCATCATTGGTATCAGTGGGAGGAATAGTGCCCCATCATTGGTGTCAGTGGGAGGAATAGTGTCCCATCAGTGGTGTCAGTGGGAGGAATAGTGCCCCATCATTGGTATCAGTGGGAGGAATAGTGTCCCATCATTGGTGTCAGTGGGGGGGGGGATAGTGACCCATCGTTGGTGTCAGTGGGGGGGGGGGGATAGTGACCCATCGTTGGTGTCAGTGGGGGGGGAGGAAAAGTGCCCCATCGTCGGTGTTAGTGGGAGGAATAATGCCCCATCATTGGTATCAGTGACACCAATGATGGGGCACTATTCCTCCCACTGACACTTGCTGACCCCTGTTCAGTATGGTGCTGCTGCAGCAAGCATATATGGTTGCAGCAGCACCTGTGCACGGCACACTTACCTTCACTTGATTTTCGCGGGGCCGCTCGGCTCCGCCTCCTCCCCGGTGATTGGCCGCCTGTGTGCCTTTCCTGAGCTACAGTTCTGGCGGCCAATCACCGGTGAGGAGGCGGAGCCGAGCAGCCGCACGAATATCCAGTGGCCGAACTGAAGGAAGGAGCAGCTGCGCTTCCTGGATCGGATCGTCGTGGGACCGGAGCCAGGTAAGAAACAGAAGCCCCTGCCCACCCCTGTACTTCGTTTCACTTCTGTTGGAAGGGGGGGGGCGGCGGCGGCACCGCACCGCCCCCCTAAAAAATGTCAGCATGCCGTATACCGGCGTATAAGACGACCCCCGACTTTTGAGAAGATTTTCAAGGGTCAAAAAGTCGTCTTATACGCCGGAAAATATGGTATATATATATATATATATATATATATATATATATATATATATATATATATATATATATATATTGTGACAGTGTGGTGATCTGTCACCCAGGATTCTCAACAAGGCAGGTTGAGGGGCTCCAGGGTAAGTGTTTGATACGGAGGAAAGTGGCTTTTCACTTTCCTCCTTTGTTTGTAAGGTCTGTTTTGGGATCTGGAGCCTGGAGATTTCAAAGAGATCTGAGAGGGATGAAATCTCCAATCCTGGGACCAGGTTTTGGAAATTGCCAGGAGACTGATTGCACAGGTGTGTGCAGGCCTCTTCATAGAATCAGGACCAGGGTTCTGGGCTCCACCCCGGCAGATAGGAGTCAGGAGGGCTCCACTTGGAAGACAGGAGGTCACTGCTTGGGGTCAGGTGGGCTTCACCAAGGAGAGGTGGAAGCCAGAGTAGCTGTGTGCTAGAAGTTTGCTGTGTGTGCAAAACCAACCTTTTGGAAGGAGTCTGCGGGAGACAGACATAGAGTGGTATCCTTGAGAGAGCCAGAAGGCTGAGTATTGTTTAATTTGTGTGATGGTGGAAACCCCTGCATGGGAAACCTTTTATGTTACGGGACTTTCATTTAAATAAAAGTGGGCTAAAAAGGCCCTGAAAAATAAGCGAGTTGCTGTGTGCGTTAACAAAGCTCTACCACTTTGAAGCGAGTTCCCACATATGGTGGAGGATGCGGGCAGAATTGGAGATCCCGGCGATTGAAGTAAGTTCATCAGTTATATGAACTGTTTGGTGCATAAGTCTGCACTATCTGTGTGTGTGCAGGTGAGGAGAACCTGCTAGTGAAAAGGACTTTGCCTTAAAGAGACAGTGTTCCATGGTGTTCCTGAACTGTGTAACACACTGCTATGTGCATGACTGCAAAGATGGGGCGGTCAAAACAGAAAAAGGAGGCAATGTTTGCTGAAATGAGAGAGAGAGCCCTGTGGCTAGGGGGTTATATACCGCATGCCCCAGCCAACCCGGAAAATTTAGATGTGGGTGAGTCTGCCGTGGACTGGTGCAAGCGGCACCTGGCAGCATTGAACCAACCTCCAGAGGAAAGCAAGCCAACCTTCAGTGCAAGGAGAGAGCTGCAGGATGTCTGTACCTGGGAGAGGGGTGTTGTTGCCCCTGGCAACGCTGCTGCAGTTAAACCAGTAGCTGTTGTGAAAAATGTGAATGTGTCACGGCTTGAGAGTTGGTCCAGCAAAGAGAAGCCTATGCTATGTGCAAGGAGAGGAGCTGACCAGAGGCCAGGACCAAGAGTGAAGGCCCATAGCAACACAGAGGAGGCCAGTCGGGCTGTCTGTGTACGGGGGGCTATGTCGTACAAGGATCATGGCAAGTGGTATCAAGAGGAGCCAATACAGCATGTTGGAAAGAGCCAGCAAAGTTCTGCTTGGAGAGTGCAATCTCCCCATGGCGACCGGAGAAAAAAACATTGTCTGGAAGGAGGAGCTGCATTGGAGATGTGGCTCAGTATCCCAATAAAGAGAAGTGTAGAAATATACCCTGCGTGGAATGTGGTCAGTGGGGGCATGGAATCTTTTACTGTCCCAGACTCTGGAATACCGCTGATACTGGGCAAATGTCTACAACATCAAGCCCAGATTCTTGTTTGAAAATGTTGGCAGCCGCCTCTGGCAACAGAGAGGAAGTTCCTGTTGGGCCTGCAGGGGGTGCCAGAGAGTCCATGGAGCCTATGCAGGCATCTGTTACTTCACCTTGGGGCAAGGGAAAAGTTGCAAGGAAAGTGCAGTTGAGGATGCGTTTATGAGACGACGCACTCAAATGAGATGGCGACACCTACTACTGTGGTGGGTAAGACTGTGTGTGATAAAACCATGGCTGGGACTGTCATGTTGAGAAGGACTGGTTATGAAACTGTCCATTCTGATGTAGGAGTGACCCCAGTTAGTTGGGCCACTGAATGTGCTTTTGAAAGTGACTTTTCTCTGTGCAGTGCCTTGTACAGTGGGGAGTTAGGGGTTAAAGTAAAACCTGTGCATGGTTCTCAAAAAGAAAGTGATGTCACTGTGTGCCAGTCACAGGTTGGTAGTAGGCTAGTACAGCCCACAAGAGCTAAAAGCGCTAATGTTGTTGATGTGAAATGTACTGCTGTTGGGAAAACCCTGAGCTCTTGCAGTGCAAAAGCTGTAATTAAAGATAGGTCATTTCCCATAGCAACTGGTGGTCAGACAGCACAGGTGTCCTTAGACATCTCCCAGGGGTCTCCGTGTATTTTAGCCGGAGGTTGCCCTGGACAACTGCGATGTCACTCTGGTGGAGCAGAGTGGAACTGCACCTTGTCATAGGAGTGTGTTGGTGCAGTCTAACAATACGGAAAGTGTTCAGGTGAACAGCGGGTTAATGCAGCCTGGCAAAAATGCAAATGTGGGTGTAATTCAGGAAGTATCACCAGAGCAAAGTGGTGGATGTGAGGTATTGCAACCTGCAGTGGGAAAACAGGTGTTACCCAAGTCTGATGTGATCCAGAGTGATTTGTGCAATGGATCTGCAACTAAGCCCGTCTATTCTTATGTGTCTCCTTGGGCAGATGGATCAGTGCTGAGGAGCACTGGTGAATTGAGCACATATACAATGGACTGGGATAGTTGGGGTAAAAGGCTAATCTCATTGATAGATGAGGTTTTTATGCAAAAAAATAAAATGGACACTGTTTCTGCTGTGCCAGCAGGAGGATCTATAGAACAGCCTATAGATAAGGGCGTGTATACAGCAGAGACTTTGTCTGTGACCCACAAAAGTGATGTTGGCATGGAGTGTCAAAATGATGTTGTCACTGGGAATGATCGGGGGCAGCTTGTGGATGCTGAGTCTGAGACGTTGAGAGTGAGCCCAGCACATGGCAGCGCTCTGGTGGAGCACCAGGCTGTGGTTGTCTCCAGCTTGGAGGAGGTCCCTTTTTAAAATTTCAACTTCTCAAGTCTCAGCAGGTGAGTCTCTCCGCATTCCCAGTGCCCTAAATATGGGTCAGGAAGGTCTTGGGTATAGAGTCAAGTGGTTGGGTTGTAATCAAAGTATTAAAGGAGATGCTTGAACTTTGGAATGTACAACCAATGTACACTGGGGTGTCTCCTCCACAGTCAGATGGTCTGGTACTGCGGAGTACCACTAGGTGGAGCACCAAATGGCTGGCTGTACATATCAAACGGGAACAAGAAAGTGGTTTATTTCTGAATTTGTTGATGGTGTTAAAAGTGGTATCAGGGTATGCTGCTGGACTACCTGTAAATGTGATATATGAGAAATGTTTTGGAGAAATGAAAAATGAGTCAAAGCTTTCACCTCCTAACAGCCAGGTTGGAAGCATTTCTGCTGCTATGGTCCAGGATGGTGCTGATCAGTTGTCAGTGAAGGGCGTGTTGACTGCACCAGTGGACAAAACACATGAGATGGAAGGGCCGAGCATGGACCAGAGAACAGCGGAGATCCTGACCAGGGCTCAAATGGATGTGCATCAAGAAATCAGGGTCATTGGGCCAAAAAGAGGTTTATGTAGCAGGTCTGATAAGACACCTGACATACAGGGACAAGTTGTATGTGAAAACTGGCAAAATGGATCAGAAGAGAGCTCATCTGTACAGGGTTTGGATACAGATCCAAGTCGTGTAGGAAAAGTTAAAATGGTGGGACAGGCGCCTGCAGAGTGCATGACACCAGGTGAAGTGGCATTTTGTGAGGTTCACATGGGTGATGGCTGCCCTATGGTGTGTGTGCCCTCTACAGACACTGTCCTAACAAATGCTGGAAAAGGTATTGAAAGGTGTAATATTGACTGGAATATAACCGTTCATGGTAAACTGAATGCTGTGGTAATGAGTCATGCAGGTTTGATAGCTAAAGGTACAAGAAATCAGGGGTATGGTCCGGGTACAAATACAGTAGAAATAGTTCCCCTACAGCCTTGGGACAGGAATACTGAGAGAGGTATTAGGAAACCTTGGAACCTGAAGCAAAGGGGCAGAAAGGTCAATAGAAAGGCCAGGGGGACCCTGTTAGGATTTCAAGAGAGAAAGTGTTTATGGAAGTGCACCCGGAAAAAGAGTAGGCAAGGTCTGATTAGAGCCCATAGCAGAGTGACAATGGGGCTTGGGGAGAGACACCAAAGGAGTCATTGGGTAGAGTTCCCCTTTAGGAAAGGTATGGTTAGACCAGATTGGACCCCTGTAAGTGAGAGCTGGCACAGAGGTGCCAGAAGGTATAAGTTGTGTGTTCTGCCCCCTACGGGATCAAAACAAAGGGGGGGGATATGTGACAGTGTGGCAATCTGTCACCCAGGATTCTCAACAAGGCAGGTTGAGGGGCTCAGGGTAAGTGTTTGATACGGAGGGAAAGTGGCTTTTCACTTTCCTCCTTTGTTTGTAAGGTCTGTTTTGGGATCTGGAGCCTGGAGATTTCAAAGAGATCTGGGAGGGATGAAATCTCCAATCCTGGGACCAGGTTTTGGAAATGGCCAGGAGACTGATTGCACAGGTGTGTGCAGGCCTCTTCATAGAGTCAGGACCAGGGTTCTGGGCTCCACCCCGGCAGATAGGAGTCAGGAGGGCTCCACTTGGAAGACAGGAGGTCACTGCTTGGGGTCAGATGGGCTTCACCAAGGAGAGGTGGAAGCCAGACTAGCTGTGTGCTAGAAATTTGCTGTGTGTGCAAAACCAACCTTTTGGAAGGAGTCTGCGGGAGACAGACATAGAGTGGTATCCCTGAGAGAGCCAGAAGGCTGAGTATTGTTTAATTTGTGTGATGGTGGAAACCTTTTATGTTACGGGACTTTCATTTAAATAAAAGTGGGCTAAAAAGGCCCTGAAAAATAAGCGAGTTGCTGTGTGCGTTAACAAAGCTCTACCACTTTGAAGCGAGTTCCCACAATAAATATATATATATATATATATATATATATATATATTCTATCTGAGCCTGCAGCTGCCCCCGCCCACAGTAAATGTACTGTAGCAGGGTGGCAAGTGCTTAAGCCAAGAAATAATGTAAAAATAAAATAACCTATTACACAAATTGTGTGATATCAGAATCCAAGGTCACTGATACTGTTTTTTAGGGTCATATTGTTCTGCAACACCACATCTTCTTAAAGCCCATCTCTGGGCAGAAAAAATATCCCTTGCAGTGGGACTATGCCACAATGCAAAGGTTAAGTGTTGTTTTGTTTAGGGATGAGGAGAAACTGTTATACTTACCTGATCCTTCACTCCCTCAGAAAGTGGCGCTCCCCCTACGATCCAGCAGTGGACTGTTCCTGGCATCCTCATGTCCAGTGCAAGGCTATGGATGCTACTCTAGCCTTGATGATGTCAAGATTTGAGACTCCTAGAAAGCAGGGGTGCAAGAGCTGTAGAGCCCAGTCTCGTGTGGGGAGGATCAAGTAAGCACTGTATCTATTATGTTTTTCCTAGACCTAAAAATGAACCTAAATTAAGACCTATCCTAAACCTAATTAACCCTTGAAGTGCAGGTACAGTTCCATAGCAAGGGAAGACTTTCCATTAGCCACGGAGTTCAGCTTTGAAGGCATCTCCCAAGACTGTTTTAGAAAGGATTTGAGTTTTTTCCCATTTTGCCCCAGAAGTCACTTAAAGGAGAACCCTCTCCCAGATGAATGGTATTTTGAAAATAAAAAGGAATTTTGCATTGGTATACTGTATGTCCTCCCAGGAACTGCCCTGCACTCCATGCACTGTGTTTGACAATTCCTTGACTATTAGCCTTGAAAATGGCCAGAATTGATTGTCAAGATTTGCCCATCCCCTTCTGACTTTATTAGAGTTCGAATTAAAGTTTGGAGTTTCCTGTTTTTACCATGAGTCGCTCAAATGTAATACCTATATAACTGTACTCTTATAAGCCAGAATGGAGCTAAAATATAATAACATTGTAGTTCCATTCGTCAGGACGGAGCTATCATATAATAAAAATCTGCAGAGTCATTAGCTAGGATATGGATTTATAATATCACTATAAATTCTCTGAGTGTTCTGATCACATCAGTAAATTCTTGGGTGGTGTGATTAACAGATCCCTTCCCTCCCTCCAATCCCTCTTGTTCTGCACAGAGAGATATCTCCATAAATCCTCCTCTGCCCCCTCCCTCAGACACACATCCACTTGGTTTCGTTTCACTGTTCTGCAGTCAGCGATGGCATTTTCTGGAGCAAGGAAGGAGCTGGACTGTTCCATATGTCTGAACATTTATACCAATCCTGTGACACTGGGATGTGGACACAACTTCTGCCGGGACTGTATAGAAGGTGTGCTGGATACACAGGAGAGGTCTGGAGTATATTCCTGTCCTGATTGCAGAGAAGAGTTCCAGGAGCGGCCTGCACTTATCAAGAACATAACACTGCACAACATAATGGAGAGTGTCCGATCTACCGAGCCAGAGAAAAAGGAGAGCCAGATCTTCTGTACATACTGTATTCACTCTCCTGTACCTGCTGTTAAATCTTGTCTGCTGTGTGAAGCTTCCCTGTGTGATGACCATCTGAGAGTCCACAGCAAGTCATCACAACATGTCCTATCTGACCCCACCACTCCCCAGAAGAACAGGAAATGCTCCATCCATGAGAAGATCCTGGAGTATTACTGCACCGAGGACTCAGCCTGTCTCTGTGGGTCCTGCAGGCTGCATGGAGACCATCAGGAACACCAGGTTGAGACACTGGAAGGGGCCTCTGAGAAGAGGAAGGAGAACCTGACCAATTCTTTGCAGAAGTTGATGAAAAAGAGAGAGGAGATGGAGGAAAGCATTGAGAGTCTGCTGAATTACATAAGAAAAGTACAAGACAGTGCAGCCGGTGTAACCAAGAGAGTCTCCACCCTATTCAGAGATATCAGGAGACAACTGGACATCCTGGAGAGGAGAGTTCTTAAAGAGATAACAAGGAAGACAGAGAAAGTCTCATTCCCAGCCTCTGATTTTATCCAGGATCTGGAGATAAAGAAAGACGAGCTGTCCAGGAAAATGCGTCACATTGAGGAGCTGTGTAACATGACGGATCCTTTGAGCATTTTACAAGTATCAGACACAGGTGACTTGTGTGATACTGAGGATGGAGATGAGGAGAACAAAGAGAGATGTGATAAACTACTGCATGGTGGGGGGGATCTGGATGTTACTGAAATCTCACACATATTACATACAGGATTATTTGATATAGTAACAGGGGTAAATAGATGGATAGCTATACCAGAACCTGACGATATAACACTGGATGAAGACACGGCTCATAACAAAGTATGTATTTTAGATGACAGGAAGACAGCACGCACAGTAGCCAGAGACCTAAGTCGTCCTGCAATACCAAAGAGATTTGTAGGAATGACAAAACAGGTGTTCAGCAGTCAGTGTTTCACCTCAGGACGACATTACTGGGATGTGGATGTTAGGGGATCATCGCACTGGAGAGTTGGGTTATGTTACTCTAATGTAGATAGGACACAAAACGATGCAGACATTGGAAGTAATTACCTTTCCTGGTGTCTAGAGGGAAAGTCTAATCAGTTATCAGTGAAACATTGCAACAACTCTACCACTTTAGCTCGTAATTTCTTAGCAGCCAAAGTCAGAATAAATCTGGATTATGCAGCTGGGCAAATTTCATTTTATGAGTTGGGTATCCCATTCCAACACCTCCACACCTTCACCGCCACCTTCACCATGCCAATTCATGCTGCGTTTTATCTAGGCGAAGGTTGTATAAAGATATATAGAGGGAATCAGGAGGTGTGACAAATTTACCCCAAGACTGGTAACAACACTGAGCCTTCTGATTGGTGCACCTAGGGTCATATATAATCCATACATCTGTAAAGTGTCTCTTACTGATAGATGATGTTGTCACTGACATGTCAGATTTTGGGGGCAACAGCAACCACGATGCTGCGTAAGTCTAATCAAGCAGTGCAGCATTGATTTACCAAAAGAAAACTCCATTTTTCATTAAACAGATAGTCAAGGTAACTGATACATCATCCATATTATAATTTATTGATCTAAAAAGCAGTTAAGAATCTCCAGTAACACTTGACAGAATGCTTTCCAAGTCTAGAGCTGACCTTGCAGAGATTGTTTTCTATGTTAATGCTCACTATTATCAAAGTAAAACTGTCCCTTTCCCCAATCTGGTCAAAATAGATTTTCTAGTACTGTTGCTTACCTCCTTTGCTACTAAAGCCCCATTCACATCTGAGTGATTTGGAATCACAGGGAGAATCGGCCTGAGTCTGCTCGTGCTTCCAAATTACACTACAAATGCGGCAAAACGTGTAATGTGCTTTTGGGCGCATTTGCCGCAATTGTTGCTCAACAAATTGTGAAAATTGTGGCAAAACGAATGTGATAAAATGCTCCTGGCCTGGTGGGTGTTACTGTCTGTCCCTGGCTCTTTGCGCTGCATTGTGTGGATGGAGTGAGGGAGCATTGCGCATCCTCCCCCCTCCCATCTGCACCTGCTTCGGCCCCTATCACGCTCCCCCCCCCCCCTTTTTTTTTTCCTCTCTTTTGAGGCCCCAATTTTGGACACTGCTCAGGGTTTTATGACTCCCTGAGTGCCTGTTTTGACAATATTTTCCTATTCCCATGGTTTAAGGGAACAAACCGGTTTTCCACAGTGAAATACAAGCATTGTGTATTTTGGGATCATTACCCCTCATTCCCAGTTTATTTGATTGGTATCTTACCAGTCTCTTGTGTAGACATTATGTACTTCATCTAGTGTTATCGGATACTGGAAAATGACTGGCAGGTTGTGCTCTTACGAGCTATTGCTGGTTCTTTGTGGAGCTTTTGATCACATTAAATGCTTATATAATGAATGCACACTGTCTAAATCAAGAATTACATTAAAAAAAAAAAAAAAAATGTGCCTGCCTTTTTGCCAAAATTTGGTATATGACCTTCTTTGGTGCATCAAATGCCTAGTGAATGGGCAGCCCAAGGCGCAACAAATGCGGAAATGCATGCATAGTGAAAAAATAAATATCAATCAGGAACACTCATTCTCGCTATGAGAAATGTGAACATGACCTCATACTTTCCTTCCCTGTGCTACCTGTTACTTTACCTTGATTGCATCACTTCATGTATGACTATTCTAATATAGCACCCTTATAAACCATTCTTTTACAATGTATCATTATTATAAAATTCCATACTGCACTAAATCACTATTCTGATGTATCATTGTTATAAACTATTCTGTTACAATGTATCACTACAATGAATTGTCATTATTACAATGTATTATTATTATTATGAACAATTACTGCTTTGCTATATACTGTAGCTATTATCTATCACTAATAAAAAGAACAGGTATTCCAGTCTATCACTATTCTAATATATTCAATAAGACCAGGTAGCTATTAATAAGACTTAATAAGACCCGGTATACCAATGTATCACTATTATCAGTAATCTAATATATCACTAGTAATAAGACCAGGTACACCAATGTATCACTATTAATAAAAACAGGTATTCCAACCTAACACTATTATTATCACTAATCTAATATATTACAAGAACAGGTATTCCAGTCTA